TTTGGAACCAAGATGGCAGACTTTGGAATACCAAAATGGCCGACTTTGGAACCAAGATGGCCGTCTTTAGAATATCAAGATGGCCGACTTTGGAATATCAAGATGGCCGACTTTGTGAACCAAGATGGCCGACTTTGGAATACCAAGATGGCCGGCTTCATAACCAAGATGGTCGACTTTGTGATCAGAGATGGCCGACTTTGGATCCAAGATGGTCGACTTTGTAACATCAAGATGGCCGACTTTGTAACCAAGATGGCCGACTTTGGAATATCAAGATGGCCGACTTTGGATCCAAGATGGCCGACTTTGTAACATCAAGATGGCCGACTTTGTAACCAAGATGGCCGACTTTGAAATATCAAGATGGCCGACTTTCAATATCAAGATGACCGACATTGTAACCAAGATAGCCGACTTTGGAATATCAAAATGGCCGACTTTGGAATATCAAGATGGCCGACTTTGGAACCAAGATGGCCGTCTTTAGAATATCAAGATGGCCGACTTTGGAATATCAAGATGGCCGACTTTGTGAACCAAGATGGCCGACTTTGGAATACCAAGATGGCCGGCTTCATAACCAAGATGGTCGACTTTGTGATCAGAGATGGCCGACTTTGGATCCAAGATGGTCGACTTTGTAACATCAAGATGGCCGACTTTGTAACCAAGATGGCCGACTTTGGAATATCAAGATGGCCGACTTTGGATCCAAGATGGCCGACTTTGTAACATCAAGATGGCCGACTTTGTAACCAAGATGGCCGACTTTGAAATATCAAGATGGCCGACTTTCAATATCAAGATGACCGACTTTGTAACCAAGATAGCCGACTTTGGAATATCAAAATGGCCGACTTTGGAATATCAAGATGGCCGACTTTGGAACCAAGATGGCCGACTTGGAACCAAGATGGCCTACTTTGGAACCAAGATGGCCGACTTTGGAACCAAGATGGCCGACTTTGGAACCAAGATGGACGACTATGGATCCAAGATGGCCGACTTTGGAATATCAAGATGGCCAACTTTGGATCTAAGATATCCGACTTTGGAACCAAGATGGCCGACTTTGGAACCAAGATGGCCGACTTTGGATCCAAGATGGCCGACTTTGGAATATCAAGATGGCCGACTTTGGATCTAAGATAGCCGACTTTGGAACCAAGATGGCCGACTTTGGAACCAAGATGGCCGACTTTGGATCCAAGATGGTCGACTTTGGAACCAAGATGGTACTCTTTGGATCCAAGATGGCCGACTTTGTAACCAAGATGGCCGACTTTGTAACCAAGATGGCCGACTTTGGAATATCAAGATGGCCGACTTTGGATCCAAGATGGCCGACTTTGGAATATCAAGATGACCGACTTTGTAACCAAGATGGCCGACTTTGTAACCAAGATGGCCGACTTTGGAATATCAAGATGGCCGACTTTGGATCCAAGATGGCCGACTTTGTAACATCAAGATGGCCGACTTTGTAACCAAGATGGCCGACTTTGAAATATCAAGATGGCCGACTTTCAATATCAAGATGACCGACTTTGTAACCAAGATAGCCGACTTTGGAATATCAAAATGGCCGACTTTGGAATATCAAGATGGCCGACTTTGGAACCAAGATGGCCGACTTGGAACCAAGATGGCCTACTTTGGAACCAAGATGGCCGACTTTGGAACCAAGATGGCCGACTTTGGAACCAAGATGGACGACTATGGATCCAAGATGGCCGACTTTGGAATATCAAGATGGCCAACTTTGGATCTAAGATATCCGACTTTGGAACCAAGATGGCCGACTTTGGAACCAAGATGGCCGACTTTGGATCCAAGATGGCCGACTTTGGAATATCAAGATGGCCGACTTTGGATCTAAGATAGCCGACTTTGGAACCAAGATGGCCGACTTTGGAACCAAGATGGCCGACTTTGGATCCAAGATGGTCGACTTTGGAACCAAGATGGTACTCTTTGGATCCAAGATGGCCGACTTTGTAACCAAGATGGCCGACTTTGTAACCAAGATGGCCGACTTTGGAATATCAAGATGGCCGACTTTGGATCCAAGATGGCCGACTTTGGAATATCAAGATGACCGACTTTGTAACCAAGATGGCCGACTTTGTAATATCAAGATGGCCGACTTTGGATCCAAGATGGCCGACTTTGGAATATCAAGATGGCCGACTTTGGAATACCAAGATGGCCGACTTTGGAAAATCAAGATGGCCGACTTTGGAATACCAAGATGGCCGACTTTGGAAAATCAAGATGGCCGACTTTGGAATCAAGATGGCCGACTTTGGAATATCAAGATGGCCGACTTTGGATCCAAGATGGCCGACTTTGGAATATCAAGATGGCCGACTTTGGATCCAAGATGGCCGACTTTGGATCCAAGATGGCCGACTTTGGAATCAAGATGGCCGACTTTGGAATATCAAGATGGCCGACTTTGGATCCAAGATGGCCGACTTTGGATCCAAGATGGCCGACTTTGGAATCAAGATGGCCGACTTTGGAATATCAAGATGGCCGACTTTGGAACCAAGATGGCCGACTTTAGAACCAAGATGGCCGACTTTGGATCCAAGATGGTCGACTTTGGAACCAAGATGGTACTCTTTGGATCCAAGATGGCCGACTTTGTAACCAAGATGGCCGACTTTGTAACCAAGATGGCCGACTTTGGAATATCAAGATGGCCGATTTTGGATCCAAGATGGCCGACTTTGGAATATCAAGATGGCCGACTTTGTAACCAAGATGGCCGACTTTGGATCCAAGATGGCCGACTTTGGAATATCAAGATGGCCGACTTTGGAATACCAAGATGGCCGACTTTGGAATATCAAGATGGCCGACTTTGGATCCAAGATGGCCGACTTTGGAATATCAAGATGGCCGACATTGGATCCAAGATGGCCGACTTTGGATCCAAGATGGCCGACTTTGGAATCAAGATGGCCGACTTTGGATCCAAGATGGTACTCTTTGGATCCAAGATGGCCGACTTTGGATCTAAGATAGCCGACTTTGGAACCAAGATGGCCGACTTTAGAACCAAGATGGCCGACTTTGGATCCAAGATGGCCGACTTTGGAATATCAAGATGGCCGACTTTGGATCCAAGATGGCCGACTTTGGATCCAAGATGGCCGACTTTGGAATATCAAGATGGCCGACTTTGGAATACCAAGATGGCCGACTTTGGAATATCAAGATGGCCAACTTTGGATCCAAGATGGCCGACTTTGGATCGAAGATGGCCGACTTTGGAATATCAAGATGGCCGACTTTGGATCTAAGATAGCCGACTTTGGAACCAAGATGGCCGACTTTAGAACCAAGATGGCCGACTTTGGATCCAAGATGGTCGACTTTGGAACCAAGATGGTACTCTTTGGATCCAAGATGGCCGACTTTGTAACCAAGATGGCCGACTTTGTAACCAAGATGGCCAACTTTGGAATATCAAGATGGCCGACTTTGTAACCAAGATGGCCAACTTTGGAATATCAAGATGGCCGACATTGGATCCAAGATGGCCGACTTTGGATCCAAGATGGCCGACTTTGGAATCAAGATGGCCGACTTTGTAACCAAGATGGCCAACTTTGGAATATCAAGATGGCCGACTTTGTAACCAAGATGGCCAACTTTGGAATATCAAGATGGCCGACATTGGATCCAAGATGGCCGACTTTGGATCCAAGATGGCCGACTTTGGAATCAAGATGGCCGACTTTGGATCCAAGATGGCCGACTTTGGAATCAAGATGGCCGACTTTGTAACCAAGATGGCCGACTTTGTAACCAAGATGGCCGACTTTGTAACCAAGATGGCCGACTTTGGAATATCAAGATGGCCGACTTTGTAACCAAGATGGCCGACTTTGTAATCTCGTTGTTGTTGTTGACAGCTGTCGCCGCTCGCCGTGTAAGATCTCCGTGTAGACGGTGAACAAGTGGGCAAGTTACCCTTGTGAGTACCTGGAAGATGTGGCCCTTTGCGAGCTGCCGTTTTGTGTTCACAAGAGGTGGTCATTATTGTGAGCTGCCGTTTTATATTTACAAGATGTGTTGGTCATTTTTATGAGCTTCCGTTATGTATTTACAAGAGGTGGTCATTTTTATGAGCTGCCGTTTTGTGTTCACAAGATGTGGTCATTTTTATGAGCTGCTGTTTATATTTACAAGATGTGGTCATTTTTGTGAGCTTCCGTTTTGTATTTACAAGAGGTGTTCATTTTTATGAGCTGCCGTTTTGTGTTCACAAGAGGTGGTCATTTTTATGAGCTGCCGTTTATATTCACAAGAGGTGTTGGTCATTTTTATGAGCTGCCGTTTTGTATTTACAAGAGGTGGTCATTTTTATGAGCTGCCGTTTTGTATTTACAAGAGGTGGTCATTTTTATGAGCTGCCGTTTTGTGTTCACAAGAGGTGGTCATTTTTATGAGCTGCTGTTTATATTCACAAGAGGTGTTGGTCATTTTTGTGAGCTTCCGTTTTGTATTTACAAGAGGTGGTCATTTTTATGACTGCCGTTTTGTATTCACAAGAGGTGGTCATTTTTTATGAGCTGCCGTTTTACATTCACAAGATGTGTTGGTCATTGTATGAGCTGCCGTTTTGTATTTACAAGAGGTGGTCCTTTTTTTTGAGCTTCCGTTTTGTATTTACAAGAGGTGGTAATTTTTTGTGAGCTGTTGTTTTATATTTACAAGATGTGGTCATTTTTTTGAGCTGCCGTTTTATATTTACAAGAGGTGGTCATTTTTTTTGAGCCGCTGTTTTATATTTACAAGAGGTGGTAATTTTTTTTGAGCTTCCGTATTGTATTTACAAGAGGTGGTCATTTTTTGTGAGTTGCTGTTTTGTATTTACAAGAGGTGGTTATTTTTTGTGAGTTGCTGTTTTGTATTTACAAGAGGTGTTCATTTTTTGTGAGCTGCTGTTTTATGTTCACAAGATGTGGTCCTTGTTTTTGAGCTGCCGTTTTATATTTACAAGATGTGGTCCTTTTTTGTGAGCTGCCCTTTTATATTTACAAGAGGTGGTCATTCTTTTTTAGCTTCCGTTTTATGTTCACAAGATGTGTTGGTCATTTTTTGAGCTGCCCTCTCTCCCTCTCTCTCTCTCTATCTCCCTCACCGTCAGTCTTTCCTCCCTCCTTACCTCTTGGTGGACTTGTGTGTGTGTGTATATTTGTATTGTTATATACCGACCGTGCACCTCGTGTTTTCCATCATTATCCACGCTGGCACGTGCAATCCCAAAGGGTTGAGAACACGAAATTGTAACGCCCCTCTAGAAATTCGCGATCCGCCAGGGCAGCTGTCTCAACTGTGCTGTTGGCCTGAGTGGATGTGGCTTCAACGTAATGTTTTCCTTCTTCAGGTGTGTTGATCGAAACGTCGTGATTGCTTTTTTTAAATTTCCCCGTTTCAACGTAATTTTATTGTACGTCTACACACGTAGGGTTAAGTGTGGGGGGGCGTGGCCAGGAACGAGGGAGGGGGCGTGGCCAGCGGCGTTGGGGGCGTGGCCCAAAAGGTGAGCGGGGCGTGGCCTGATCCCAGGGCGAAGGGCGCCATCGGGGCGTGGCCAGAGATGAGGGGGCGTGGCTATAAGGTGAGGGGGGGGGCGTGGCTATGAAAAGAACACGTGGGGGACTATGAGTGGAGGGGCGTGGGGCTATCAGACGAGGGGGCGGGGCCGAGCAGCGAAGGGGCGGGGCTATCAGATGAGGGGGCGGAGCCGAGCAGCAAAGGGGCGGGGATACAAGACGATGGGGCGGGGCTATCAGACGATGAGGCGAGGTCGGGAGGGGAGGGGCCAGTGATCGAGGGGGCGGGGCCGAGGACGGAGGCGGCGTAGCTGATTGGCAGACTGAGTCCCACGTGGGGACCAATCACGCTCAGCCACGCAGCGACGTAGCCCTCACGTCTGGGGGGAGGGG